GCTTCAATACTGACACAGAAATATTATTGCTTCAATACTGACACAGTACTATTATTGCTTCAATACTGACACGGTACTGTTATTGCTTCAATACAGACAAAGTAATATTATTGCTTCAAATCTGACACAGTAATATTACTTCAATACTGACACAGTACTATTATTGCTTCAATACTGACACAGTACTATTCTTGATTCAATAATGAGACAGTACTATTCTTGCTTCAATACTGACACAGTACTATCATTGCTTCAAATCCGACACAGTACTATGGCTGCTTCAAATCTGACATAGTACTGCAAAGAAGCGTCAGAAAGCCTCGCCCACAGAATTTCACAACAATAATCCGTTTATGTGATGGTGTTGAAATACTCCACTATCTGTCATGTGCCAACATGGTGTTTCCAGTCTCAGTGATAAGGGGATATTGCAGTCTGTATGGCATTCAGCTGGGTACACATGTGCCTTGTAATGCTTCTGATAAATTCAGCAAATTAAATACACCAATGTCGGATCAGGCTATTTCTGGCATCGGTTGAAAAAAACATGGCCTGCTGTGCTCATTTACTCTCCGATCTCACCAATTTTGTCTTGGGTACCTGGGCAACGTTCCCCAAAGCGATCGTAGCCCTGTGACAGTCGTAAGCCAATGTTAAAGTATGGGAGTTACGATCGTCTTAGCGCTACGATCGCTTGGTGGAACAGGCCCCTACACTGATATTCATTAACATGATGTAACCACTAATTCGGATAGGATATTGTTGAGGCAATACTGTTGTGATGGCATGTGGTCTTAGCGCTACGATCGCTTGGTGCAACGGGTCCCTGCACTGATATACATTTATATGATGTAACCACTAATTCAGATTGGATATTGTTGAGGCAATACTGTTGTGATGGCATGTAGTCTTAGCGCTACGATCGCTTGGTGCAACGGGTCCCTGCACTGATATACATTTACATGATGTAACCACTAATTCAGATAGGATATTGTTGAGGCAATACTGTTGTGATGGCATGTGGTCCTGGCGCTACGATCGCTTGGTGCAACGGGTCCCTGCACTGATATACATTTACATGATGTAACCACTAATTCAGATAGGATTTTGTTGAGGCAATACTGTTGTGATGGCATGTGGTCTTACCGCTACGATCCCTTGGTGGAACAGATCCCTGCACTGATATACATTTACATGATGTAACCACTAATTCAGATAGGATTTTGTTGAGGCAATACTGTTGTGATGGCATGTGGTCTTACCGCTACGATCCCTTGGTGGAACAGATCCCTGCACTGATATACATTTACATGATGTAACCACTAATTCAGATAGGATTTTGTTGAGGCAATACTGTTGTGATGGCATGTGGTCTTACCGCTACGATCGCTTGGTGCAACGGGTCCCTGCACTGATATACATTTATATGATGTAACCACTAATTCAGATAGGATTTTGTTCAGTCAATACTGTTGTGATGGCATGGGGTCTTAGCGCTACGATCGCTTGGTGCAACGGGTCCCTGCACTGATATACATTTATATGATGTAACCACTATTTCAGATAGGATATTGTTGTGGCAATACTGTTGTGATGGCATATGTGGTCTTACCGCTACGATCGCTTGGTGCAACGGGTCCCTGCACTGATATACATTTATATGATGTAACCACTAATTCAGATAGGATATTGTTGAGGCAATACTGTTGTGATGGCATGGGGTCCTGTGTACAATTGGACAAATCAGGTGAAGTTAAGCACTGCTGGTTCGGAGAGTACTTGGATTGTTCGTTAGCCTGACTCCTGATAGTTTCCAGGGCTTTGGTCCTGCCCAACACTGAAGCATATGTTTCATGTGGTGTCTCCTTAGGCAAGTGACTTTGTTTGAAATATGCCTCTGATCACCCAGCAGTGAATGGGTACCCGGTAGGAGATGGCTAATATGACTGTTAACCTTCTAGCATTAATAGGCAGCATGGGTTGTATACATCTTAGGGAGCTGAGATTGGCTTTCAAGTCGAGTGGACACTGATCACTTGGTGAACATTATACACTAAATTATGGTTATAATGAACTCAAAGGTACCACTAATTTTACTTTGATATAATTGTAGTTCGGTAAAAAGTATTTTGACTGAATTTCCTCACTCTCACCGTCACATTTTATAGACAGAACATATCCCCTCCAAAGGCTATAATCATGGTTTTACTATTGTTATTTGAGGGTGTAAATTGAGGACAAGGTGTCATTACTTTACCCAGTTAATCATATGCACATGCATTTGTTTATTACCTTTTTGAACAGCCGCACGTAGCCGCAGATGTTTTGATAGGCTGTTAGGGACCCACGAGCAGCTCAGAGATAAGCAGTTTGTGATAAACATAAACATTGTCGTTGACAGAGTACACACAGGACCACAAGGTGAGTTCACTATATCCATCAATTTTACAGGATTAAACATACAGAGAAAGGCCGGTACCAAAAAGCAGCTTGATTTTTCGATTAATTTTATATGATTAAATATACAACGAAAGGCCGAAACTTAGAACACAGTTCGTTATATCCATCAGTTCCTTATAAGCGTGTTCTTTATAAATGTAGTTAACTGTAAACAGCTTGCCCTTTTCATTCAGTACATCAGGCTTGCAGACTTGAAATAAATTCCCCCTGGACCACTGAGGATTGGCTACATGAAAATTCCTACCAGTCCTTGTAGTTGTGTACAACCAACCTGGGAAAGGACTTCACTACATAAATGTATTCCTTGATGAATAAAATACAGGAATACAGTATTTGGCTACAATTGGACTTGGAATATTTAAAAAAAAAAAAAAAAATTTAAATTGAAAATTATAGAAAATAGACCGTCTACAATAAAACTTAATTTCACCCGTCCTTGATGGAATTAAACTGTCATGGATGTCGGGCCGTCATGGATGTTGGGCCGTCATGAATGTTATTTGCAGCACGGATTACCTTCACCATAACATCTGACTCAGCACCAGGATGAACCTGATCTTGATCAATAAAATATCCTTCTACACTTTCTCCACAAAAACAACACCGATTCCACACTCCCATGACGCCAGGAGAGTGATACGTTTAGCACCATCTGAACAACAAGTCCTGTGTAAAACTCCCACTTTGACGATACTACTGCCGGTCAACCTGACCCTGGGGAGGGGAATTCAGTTACAATACTAACTGATTACCTTGACGGACAAGAACTAATTCATAGCCTAACTGCACTCGTCTGATTGCTGATGACTGTTCTCTGAAGGCTCCAGGGTAGTAAGGGACCGATCATTTGATATTCATGGGGCGCCTGTGATTTAATCGAAAAATAAATTGTACCTGAAAATTTGCGAAAAGAGTAATTATGGTTCAGACTGTTGAAAAAAAATTATTGCCTATCATAAAAATTACATTCTTGGAAGGTGCTTTTAGAAAATAAATAACATGTGCCCTGATAATAAAGAAGTTGACATCCATAAATTCTTTTCCTTATCAATATTTATTCTCATAGTTTCAATTAGAAAAAAATATCTAGTTTCTGGTCCCTTAAACTATAGCCTGTTATCATTGGATATCTTATATAGGAAATATGCTGCTGTGTGTGCTGGACACTGGTCGATACTGTGGGCGAAACACAGCATTGGAAAATGACAATCATTTCTTATCCATTGTATCTATTTGCTGGAGCAGCAGCTTCAAAATATTACCATCCCTACTTTTAAGTCCATCTATCTAGATTTGTTTCCCCCTTAACCTATCCATCAACTTGCATTATCAAAAGTTGGTAAATCATATTTCTGATGTTAAGGCAAGTGGGCGTCAGTGTAATCTGATAGCATACCACCATGATATATTTGACTGTATGTAGTTGGTGTTATCAAGAATCACTGTCTCCTAATTACACGAATAACATTATGGAATTGATGTACAATAATTTTGACTACCTCAGACAATCCAGATTTCTGATAGCCCTCCAGAGTCTGAATCAGCTAGTCAGCGGATGGTAGACACAGAGTGTTTGCAGATATGCATTTTCCAAAAGTGGTCTTTGATCGCTTCAGCCTTGTTCAGCCCTTGACACAAGACTCATACACTGACTACTTCCAGTTTTAGCCCTTAATTAGACACCCACATTGTCTGCTTCAGGTTTCAGCTCTAACACACAAGACACCTGCACTGACTGCTTCAGGTTTCATCTCTGACACTCAAGACACCTGCACTGACTGCTTCAGGTTTCAGCTCTAACACACACGACACCTGCACTGACTGCTTCAGGTTTCAGCTCTAACACACACGACACCTGCACTGACTGCTTCAGGTTTCATCTCTAACACTCAAGACACCTGCACTGATTGCTTCAGGTTTCAGCTCTAACACACAAGACACCTGCACTGACTGCTTCAGGTTTCATCTCTAACACACAAGACACCTGCACTGACTGCTTCAGGTTTAGGTCTAACACACAAGACACCTGCACAGACTGCTTCAGGTGTCAGCTCTAACACACTAGACACCTACAGTGACTGCTTCAGGTTTCAGCTCTAACACACAAGACACCTGCACTGATTGCTTCAGGTTTCATCTCTAACACAGAAGACACCTGTACCGACTGCTTCAGGTTTTAGGTCTAACACACAAGACACCTGCACTGACTGCTTCAGGTTTTAGGTCTAACACACAAGACACTTGTGCTGACTGCTTCAGGTTTTAGATCTAACACACAAGACACCTGCACTGACTGCTTCAGGTTTCAGCTCTAACACACAAGACACCTACAGTGACTGCTTCAGTTTTCAGCTCTAACACACAAGACACCTGCACTGACTGCTTCAGGTTTTAGGTCTAACACACAGGACACTTACAGTGACTGCTTCAGGTTGTAGGTCTAACACACAAGACACCTGCACTGACCTATTCGACCCTTGATACTTCTACAGTTTGCCTTCCCTTGCTAGACATGTGAGTGTGACAATGTGGACACCTACCTTGATGGCCTCAGCAGGTGTCGGTCCCTGACACTTCTCCGAGTCATAGTACAGCTGAAGGTACTGCTGCTTTAACCACTGGAGCTTCTTGTCAGTCTGGTACTGTAGTTTATGGGAGGCCCGAACAAGACACTTGAGACCATGGTACCAGATCTTGGCAGTGTGTGCAGGAGCAATGAACCACAACTTCCGGTTCTCCGACAGGTATGTTCCATACAGAATGGTAATACAGTTGTGTTCATGGCTAATATCCTCCAAGCCATGGCGCTTGGAAACAGCAGCAAGATCAACAGTTTCATCGTCGAAGTACACCTCTTTGATGACAGTCACATCAATATAGCCCTCCTCCAGGTTATCACAGACTTCCTCACCAGTTGTGTGGCGAGCACAGAGGATCTGCGACCCATTGCTCTCCACTTCACCCTTCAGGACATAATCCGGCGTGGTGTTCCCAGCCCGTCGGGCACTCCACGATGGCTTCCGCCAGGTTAACGTGGCATTGTCGATCTCTAGTCGGAGATAGCACATACAGGACCGTCCTCCGTCCTCCTCCCATCTCACCATCGTCGTCCCGTGGTTCATACACTGTAGCCAATGATGGTTCAGAGATGCGACCTTGGGGGTTATGATCATGACCTCATGGTCACTGTACAGAGGTCGAATTGGTTGGTAGCTGTCAAGGTCAAGGTCATAGTCACTATCACTGTCATCGTCCTCAGATCGCACATGGTTCCTGTAAAACAAAAAATTGAAAATATGGAGGATGTTATGAAACACATTTTATTGAAAACAATTTTCAATGGATACAGGCCATAGCTCGATCTTACATGCCCAGCCAACAAATGGCAATGGGACTTGGGGATTACCAATTTGTTCATCAAGATTATTTGGTAATATGACTACATATCACTTCCATTTTCAAAATGGCATCTTAAACTTCACAACATCAAGAAAAGAGAACAGAAACAACAACAAGAACAACATGCAATGTGATGAATTGCAAAATGTGTCACTGAAAGAATCTGTGATGGGAAATATACCTGACACTGGGTTTGCTACCAGGAATACAGCCCGTCTGACAATCTGGGTAATGCAGAAAGCTACAGTGTTTGGGCATCTTCACATTCTCCGAAAAGTTCTGGGTGGGTTTGACTTGGCAGCGATTCCTGGGAGAAGTCCCATTCGCTGTCTGGGCTGTGAGTAGAGGGGGCAAGGGCCCTGAGGTGATGATGAGCCTAACCAGCCTGACTGTGCCAGGCTCACCCAAACCCTCTTTGCTGCATTTTTTATTTTAATCTGAACAACAACAAAGCCTTTGTCTGACCCCCTTCAGAGTTTACATACACACACACATATATATATATATATTAAGGACTGGTCATTTGTTAATTGGGGGAGGGGGGTAGGAAGGTTGGTCTTGGGGCTGTATCATAGCTTGCTGACCCTGCTATTTTATGTAATATCTTTTCATGCCAGACCCTGCTATTTCATGTAATATTTTTATGTAATATTTTTATGTAATATTTTTTTCATGCCAGATACATTTAACATTAGTAATGTAAAAAATTCAGGTGTTCCTTAACTTCTTTTTAGTAGTATATTAAGTCCATCCAGTGCAACATAGACACATTATTTATTGACATGACAGAATCCAACAGCCATATGTCACAATAACGGAGGTGATGTGACACTTGTTGTTTTGTCTCCGAGCCAGACAGCTGGACAGGTGATCAGCTTCAGTTTCTAGCAATGCCTAGCAACAAAGTATTGACCAGACAAACACAGATTTAACAGTTTCTATAACAGTGCGTCCCCATTACCTGGATGAGTTGCATGTCAGCTGACCTACAGCTCATTGGTCAGTTAGAGGCTGATAATGACAGCCCATTGGTCAGTTGGAGTTGGATAATCTGCGCAATCACACCAAAGCCTGGTCTGGTTTATCCACTTACTGTTCTGCTTGACCATTAGTGTCAGCGATTGAAGGAGGTATCAACGTTAGGATCCGGGGTAATTGTATTACACTACTAAAATGTGTTCAGAACACCCTGCAGTGCAATGGTCCTCTAACAGTAACTGTAAACTGTAACGGAAAACATTTCGGTGACTTCTAAAAGGGAACTGTAACAGACAATATGTCGGTCATTTTTAAAAGAGGACTGTAACGGATAATATGACTGTCAGTTCTAAAGGAAAACTGTAACGGATAACATGTCTGTCACTTCTAAAAGACACTGTAATGGATAACATGTCTGTCACTTCTAAAAGGGAACTATGACGGAAAACATGTCTGTCAGTTCTAAAAGGGAACTATGACGGAAAACATATCTGTCAGTTCTAAAAGGGAACTATGACGGAAAACATGTCTGTCATTTTTAAAAGGGAACTATGACGGAAAACATGTCTGTCATTTTTAAAAGGGAACTATGACGGAAAACATGTCTGTCACTTCTAAAAGGGAAATGTAACAGAAAACGAGTGAGTGAGTGAGTGAGTGAGTGAGTGAGTGAGTGAGTGAGTGAGTGAGTCTTTATGCCACCTTTAGTAATATATTTCAGCAGTATCATAGTGGGGACACCAGAAATAAGCTTCACACATTGTACCAACATATTAAACAATAGTCAGTTTAAAATTGGGATTTTTTCAAATGTTGTTATGTTTAAAATTCAGAGACATTTAGATGCTGCATTTATTGCAATAATGTTAAACTAAACATGAATGTTCCTCCTCTTTAATGGTCCTGTTATCAGTGCAATACAGTTTTAAGTCACCCCTACAACGCCATCACCAAACATCAGTGTGTGGGCTGATGAATCCCCCTGAGACATATATTCTACACAAAGGCACTCATGATTGCTAAAACACGTTCAGGCTGTCGTGACATGGCAAAGCGATTTTAGGCAAAATTTGCTACAGCTCGCATACTTTTCAGAAAAATTCTTTAATCTACAAGGTAATCAATTTAGTTTAGACTGAAACACAAGAATTCTCAAATTCTTAGATTGGCATTGTAGAATCATCATCATCATCATCATCATCATCATCATGTGTTAGTCTGACTTAGAAGCAAGTGTCTTATTGTGAGCATGGTGGAGTGTTCAAACTTCACTGTAAGGAAGCACTTACGAGTTGTTGTCTCGTATAGGGCTGAATATTGACATTTTTGTGAGCATCCGACTCACTCAGAGAGACAGGCGAGGATTGAAAACATTCACCTAATATAACCTTTTCACATCCTTGAGTGGATAACGGTGTAAAATCTACATCGAAACGTTGCTAAATGCAATAAACCAGAAAATTTATCAATAAAGATGTACGTTTTCTAATTTACTCACCAACTCTCTAGAATGCCAATCAAGCAGTAAACTGCCAAAACATTAAGACATCGCTTTGTAAAAATGACATTGGCATTCAGAGTTACACCTCTAGTTGAGGTCATTTGTACCATCTTCCAATCATTAACAGATAACCTCTCCCTCAGACTATAGTCAGACATCTACCAAGAACCCACTTATCTCCCTTAGTTCAAACATATTTTATTCACAAATGGAAAAGGATCAAGTTATCGTACTTAGGACACCCTCTCCTGGGTGTTTACATACGTGATGGCTTCACTGAGGCAGATCTGTGATTCTGTTCTAATGACAGCAAACTGTAAATAAGCCGGGAAAATACCTTTGTGATTTTATGTATGATTTTTTAAATGATGTATGTATTTATGTATGATTCTGAATGATGTATGTATTTATGTATGATTCTGAATAATTCAAAATTCCACTAAATACGTCATCGGGTATTGTGACGTGATTGTAAACTTTGAGGTGCAAGGCCCCATTCCACAAGGTGATCGTATTGTAGCGCAACGACAGTCGTTAGTCTAAGTTAAAGTATGTGAGTTGCGATAACCTTAGTGCTACGAAAATTTTGTGGAACGGATGCCTGAATTCTAAAGGTTGACCATTGTATGGTATTAAATTCATAACTTTGTTTGAAGTATTATTCTGTTAAACTCAATTGGATTATGCCTAGGATCGTTTAGGTGTCAGCCTATTCACACTCAACAGTATAATTCTAACATCGTTATAAATGCCAAGCAATAAATAAAATACTAAACTTGCCCCTGTGTAAAACCAATTTTATGAAACTCGTGAATAGTTGTGGTATCTGGCTCATCAGATACCAAAGCTATTCACTCGGTTCATAAAATTGGTATTACACGGGAGCTCAACGTTTAGTATTCTATATTTATGTTATGGCTTGTTGATAGGCCTGCACTTCCCACCAACAATAGTTTCACATTGATGGGTACACTTGTGTTTCTTCTAAGTATGCGTCTTAATGTTAATATAAGTTGTTCTCTTTGACTAGTATATACTGGACATTCAAACAAATAATGGAAAATTTTTTCTATGAAGTTGCTGCAGGAGCAAATTTTGGGTCAGTTTTTATGCCTATTTTGTATACAATATTCGACATAATAAGCCCCTGCTCTAATAAGCGCCCAGGGCGATTTTTGCTGATATATTGGCTAGTGAACACTCCCAATTAGCACCCCTTCCGAATGATCAATGTAAACAATGTACATTTATCTTTCAACTCTGTTTTTTCCACCAAAATAATATTCTAATAAGAGCCCCCTATTTGTAATTTTGAGAGCGCCCAGGGCGCTTATTACGTTAAATACAGTAAATCAAAATTGAGTGAAGTTGTGGAATAGAATAACTTAGTGTGAATAATGTTAAGTTTTATTTTGCCATTCCAAAAATAGGATGGTGCAAATGAATGTTGTTTTGAGATACAAGATTTGAAGGAGGTTACACTAGCACAATTACAAACATTTATTGTTAGGTTATTCCACAATCTTATTGTTGAAGGAAAGAAGGATTTGTATGAATGTTTAAGTCTCAAATGAGGAATTGATATGTGTCGGAATATCTCTGATTATAATCAGTTTTCATACCAATGTTGTGCGGACTAAGTTAACTTGTCTCCCTTGTCCGGAATGGGATTCTCTATCAAGCAAGGAAGGAGCTTCATGACCCTTGTCAGATACTCAGCCATGATCCTCCTCACACTGGTCAAAAGGTCACCCCAAATTGTCAAGGTCAAGTGAAGTCATGAGACTGAAATAGGGGTTAATTGCAAAGGTCACATCAATCTTATCCCAATCAATAAGGACCATTCTCGACAGTTGCTTGATTGATCTGTTTTCTCCCCTCCTAATGAAATCTAAAAAAATAATGTGTGTGCGTGTGCGTGCACATTTCTGTGTGTGCACGTAGGTACGGCTAAAATGTTTTTAAAAGACTGATTTTAGAGGATTATATATGTGATTGGGTATGCTTTCAAGTAAACACATAACAATGTCATGAGCTGTAGAATGTCTGCTGGTTCCAGTTAGATGGACTTCTGATGGAATTCATCCAATACATGTTGCTGAAAAGATGCTTCTAATATCATGTGCTGCTGATCTCACAGCCTTTGTGAACAGTTGGTTGTTTTGTTATTTAACGCCGCACTCAGCAATATTCAAGCTATATGACGGCGGTCAGTAAATAATCGAGTCTGGACCAGACAATCCAGTGAGCATCGATCCACACTATTGGGATACAATGACATGCATCAATTAAATCAGTGAGCCTGACCACCCGATCCCGTTCATCGTCCCATACAACAAGCATAGTCGCCTTTTACGGCAAGCATGGGTTGCTGAAGACCTATTCTACCCCGGATGTTCACGGATCTTTGTGAACAGAACACGCTCAGACATGATCTGTTTTCAAATGGTTGCACCTGACAGGTTTTTATGGGTGTGCACCATGTTTTATGTGCAGTTTGTCAGGATAAATAGGACAAGATGCAACACAGAGCTGCATCGAACAGATTAATCTCACCAACAGCCTGTACAGAATGACACAGTACAATTGTGATTCTGCCAATTTGCTTAAAAATCCATATCTTTGATTCACCAATCTGTCAACGTCAGCTATTAATAATATTCCACACGATAAATCCAAGCATGAAGGGCTTCGGCACAGATTAACAGTCTGAGATTGTCAGTTGCTCTACAGTTAACTCTAGCTCCCTGGACACCAACATGGACTCCTCCAAGACAATGCATGGGAGAGCCTATTATATAATATTGGCAGACTTGGGGTTAACCTTCCTGATATTGCCTCTCTCAGGAAGAGAGGGCACTGGAACTACAAGAGTTATGGGTCAACTTATGACAGAATTCAAGTCATATGTCACGTTTTTTCCTTTTTGTATTCTGTATTTTTCAGAAAATATGTAACATACATAATGTCTACTTGGGAGGACCCGTAAGGATCTGTGTAAGAATTGGTCTTGACGACAGCCTTCTCTGTGGTAACACATCATTTTTACAGACTAGAGGAAATAAAAACATAATTTCTAACCCTGGTACAACCAAAGTACCAAAGAAGAAAAAATCCCAATAACAAAATAACAGCAACCCATGCATGCCAAGTAAATGTCTTTTGGTATGATACGGTCGGGGATCAAACCCTGGACAGACACTCTACCACAAGACCATGGAGGCGGTCTGTAACCATGGTAGTTTCTTTGCAGAGTTTAATCTTAATCAAGCATATCAACATGGTCAAGGGCAAAGACAATGCAATTTGCATGAGCTCTCATTGGATCAGGACAAAATGCAGTTTGCTCTTTTTAAGTTTTCAATGCATTTCAACTTTCTTTTCTTGAAGGATGGGCGTTATGTGGCAGTAGAGATTCGGCCATGGATGAACATGAGGAGGTTTCATGTAAATAATCCCAGTCATCGGGTCCTGCAGGACTTGGATGAACATCATCAGCTTTCATGTAAATAATCCAAGTCATCGGATCCTGCAGGACTTGGATCAACATCAGTAGGTTTCATGTAAAGAATCCCAGTCATCAGATCCTGCAGGACTTGGATGAACATCATCAGCTTTCATGTAAATAATCCAAGTCATGGGATCCCGCAGGCCTTGGATCCACAACATACGATATTCAGTATTTCAACCCAGTCGACCCCTGAAGATCCGGGTTGGAATAGGTCTTCAGTAACCCCTGCTTTGCCGTAAAAGGCGAGTATGCTTGTCGTAAGAGGCGACTAACAGGATCGGGTGGTCAGGCTCGCTGACTTGGTTGATATGTGTCATCACATCCTAATTGAGTACATCATGATGTCAATCACTGGATTGTCTGGTCCATACTCGATTATTTACAGGCCGCCGTCATATAGCATTTTTTATCTGCCAAGAGTTCTCTGTGTGGAATCCAGGGTAAATCGCTGGTCAGTGAATGATTGAGGGTGTGGTTGGTGTTGTGTTCAGTCACTGAGTCGTGGAAATATTTCTCGGTTCGTATAACGCTAAAATGTAAATGTTAACTTTATTGGTCAGTCTTTGTCCTACCTGTTCTCATCCTGTTCCATATCTTCTAGTTTCTGTATGATCGCCCTCTGGTGGTCAGCGTGGTGGTGAAATAGGAGGATGTCGTTCAGGACGATGTGAGCCTGTTTCAGCTTGTCCATGTTGATGAGGCCGCCCACGCCGATCCGTGTCATGAAGCGATCCTCACCGTTGTAGTCGGACACAAACTGGGGAAGAGGTATGATTATCATTATGATGGGCTGAGTGAGGTGAGGTGAGGTGAGGTGAGGTGAGGTGAGGTGAGGTGAGGTGAGGTGAAATGGGCTTAACATTATATTAAAGATGACTGCACTTATATAGCAACATGCATGAATGTGGGTGTGGCTGCTTGTACTTGTCTGCACAAATGTCGGTTTTATAGTGCTTGCCCACTGAGATACCTGGCCGCAGTAACATAGATACCCCACTAAGACACAGTATACTGACTCTTAGCTGACCGGTCCTTATTTAGCCCCTGAATTATGTGCACCAGGCAGGGAAACAACAAGAACCACCTTTAAACCTCTTTGGGCATGACATGTTAGGGGATCAAACCAAAACACTTCTGCTCTCTGGGCGAACACTCTATCCACTGGACCATGGCAGTAGTCGAATGTAGCAGGAAAGCCCAAAGTTATGCAGTCCCAGATGTTTACATCATTGGGAGACCTGCCATCTTCCCGAGGCAAGGGAATTATCTGACTATAGAAGTCGAAATCGACAACCGGTTCGTAAACTGCCGTGCAGATTTTGTTTGATTGCAGTATTTGCAAACGTGTACGACATCTTAGCGTCAACAGATATTTTCCAAATCTTTTCATGTTTCTAATCAAGGTGCTGATGTGATTTGATGCACTTTGCAAAGTAAGACATGTTTTATTACAATATTGATTATCGATCAGATCATCTTCACCGGGTGATACCATGTTGTTTGAAGCAATTGCATTTATTCTCTTAATGCCGAGATGCTCTATCCACTAGACCATCGAGGCAGTTTTCCCAATGATGACACACAGACATGACTGTCTTATACATGCCAAACACAACACTACCTTGTACTCATGAATTATTCAATCTGTGAAATGAAATAAAATTCAAGGTAATTTGTGTTTCCGTGATAAAAAACTATCTAGAAAAGTTTACAAATTTCGCCAATTTTCAACCTATCAAGGTCTGTAAGCATAGGAAGCATCAGACAGAAAATGACACTGATGTCTGAGCAGTATGATGGATTTATTTATACCGAGATGATCCGAGTTCAGTTTCCACTGGCAGTTGAAGATTGTATGGGTGCTTCATGTGATGGTTTCAATAACTCAATGACAAACTTCTATAATTATTGATAATTCTACCTCTGTATCTGGCCTTGTTGTTGCCAGGGAAACATCATCTAGTTTGTATATGGACTGTATTCATTTGACATTTCTTACTTGTCAAAGTGTTATGATATTAATAATAATGTCCCAAAGAGTCCATTCATTATGCACCAGAGTACATTCAGTAAGACTGCCGCTGTGGTTTAGCATATAGAGCTTCTTCCTGGTAGCAGAGGGTTGGTAGTTCAATCACCGGCTATGCCATACTAAGAGATGTCAAAAGACGGCACTTGTTGTTACCCTGTCTGGCACTCAGCATTATCAGGAGAAAAGAAGGACTGGTCGGCTCGGAGTCAGTATACTGTGTCTGAGTGGGGTATTCATGCCAAATTGTGGCATGGTATCTCAGTGGACTAGCACTATAAAAAGGCATAAGTCCGAACAAGCACAAGCACACACACACAAATTAACATACAAGAACACATACATAAGCACACACACAAGAACATACACACAAGAACACATACATAAGCACATACACAATATCATACACACAAAAGCACAGACACAACCACACACACGAGACACACACAAAAGTACTAACACACACACACACACACACACGCACGCACGCTCGCATGCTCACTCACACACACACACACACACACACACACACACACACACACACACACACACACACACACACACACACACACACACACACGCACGCACGCAGGCTCGCATGCTCACACACACACACCCACACCCACAAACACACACACACACACACACACAAAAGCACACATATACACATCAGTGCAAGATGAGGGAGATTCAAGGCCTATCTTTTGAAGGAAGAACACTACTACATGTACCCCGGTCACTCCCAATGACAAGATTAGAGCATGCGCCACATTCAAGATATACAAAAGCGTACATACTGATTTCTGGGTTCACCTTATACACGATAATAAGTGCAATAACCTTGAAAACAACATTAAACCCCTTTTCACCTCACCTCCTGATTGCTCATGATCATACATCACTACTACATGTACCCCAGTCACTCCTACATGTACCCCAGTCACTCCTACATGTACCCCAGTCACTCCCAATGTATACAACCCAAGCTGCCTATAATGCACTAGAAGGGGATCGCACATTTACATCACCTCAAATTGGGTGCCCATTTGCTGCTGGGTTAACAGAGACCAATTGTAACACTTCCGTGTAATGTTTTTGTTTTATCACATACCTCTAGGTTTTGATTTTCTTCCGATGGAAGCACAATGAGGCTTGGAACGCCAGCAAATATTGCCTTGAGATCACGTAAGAATCCACCGAAAAAAGGAACCACTTTGCATTCTTGGATGTCTAAGGCTCGGCTGACGGCCTCCCTGTATTCTGGAGAAGGATCTCTGGTCAGCAGGACCTCAGTGAGGGAGCTCAAGGTGGACAGATTCTCCTCCGATATCGACAACCAGAAAGGTTTCAACTTCTCAGATCTGGAATGAAAATAAGAGAATGAGTGGTCTGCTTTCATTACTAGCAGCAACATGGGTCAGTATTGAGGAGTGTCGAAGCATAGCCATATGAGACATATACATGCAGAAGTGAGACAACTACCAATTGCAAAATGCTTTATGAATTATTTCTATTCAAACAGTGAGTGAGTGAGTGAGTGAGTGAGTGAGTATGCTTGCAGAAATATTCCATCATCATTAAACCCGAATTGAATTGAATTGAAACCCGATGTAACATTTTGTTTGTTTGTGTGTTATTTAACGCCGTACTCAGCAATATTCCAGCTATGTGAGGGCGGTCTGTAAATAATCAAGTCTGAACAATTCAGTGATTGATATCATGAGCATCAATCTACACAATTGGGACACGATGACATGAATCAACCAAGTCACAATACTGACCATCAGATCCTGTTAGTCGCCTCTTATGACAAACAAAGTCGCCTGTTACGGCAAGAATGGGTTGCTGAAGACCTATTCTACCCCAGATCTTCAAAGGTTCAGGTACAAAGGTACTATTCGATTGTACCTACTCCAGAACGACAGAGAGCCACTTGTGTCAAACTAAAATTATCTTTTGTTTGGGGTCATTTAATTCATATACCACATCCTCATAACCTTTCCAATCTTATGCAAAATATATCTGAAATTCAGAGGGTGTCCGGGGGTGGGACAAACTGGCCTGGGATATTCCTTTCTCGGGTAGAACTGCCTAGGAGAACATTTAGCCTGGTTTACCAGGTCTTGGGTGTGATGAGCACTACCACACTGCCCCACATTCATCCAGTCCTTGCATGCTAACTTGATGTCACAGAGAGTATGGGTACCCATCCTTTTCTAGAATCTGTATCTTTGATTGTCACATTGCCAGAGATACTCACCTGAGTCCTGCCAGTATCTCGACTGCAGAGTTGAAGTTGCCGAGGACGAAGCAGTATAAGGCCAGTCTCAGGATACAGGACAACACTGCCTTCCGGTCCTCATGGGTGGCCTGTGTGATGATGATCTGGGTGATCCACGTCGTCACCTGCAACACGTGGACAACAACATCTTTACAACGTGAGGAAACACCATCATAAACATGAAACACCATCATTAACATGAAACACCATCATAAACATGAAACAGGCCTGAAAGACCATCATAAACATGAAACAGGCCCTTGATGCAACAGTCTGTGGAGACATGTACTTCGGGTCATCAAGAGTTGTCTCCCTTGATGTTTAGAAAATCAACTTTGGTATAAAACATGCTTATGTCCAAATACACGTATATGGAAAATGCTCCCAGAAAACCTCTAATGTCAGTCTTTTTGAAACATTTTAGTCAAACTTATGTATTTTATGATGTTATAAGTCCCAAATACTCAATTGCGAAAATGATCAAAGTCTTATTCTCATTCAAATGAACACATATGATGACTTCTGTAATGATTTATAAAGGTTTTCCCTATTTCTTGAATTATGAATATACCTTGGACTACACACACCCTTATCATATTGTCATCTGCACTTCTTTGACCCTGCACTCACTCATCCCCTGTTCCCTCAACCGAAGAGCCCCAACTAAACATGGCCAGCGACGGCCGAGGCCCAGGACACAAGCCTCAGATCCTTCAATCTCGTTAAAATCAGATCTTTTACTACTATACGATACTTCCCTGTGTCACGATCTGATGACACCTCACGTCAGGTGAACACAGAGCGAACACTAACTGCCACACCATGTGAAGGAGGCTTGAGTTCATGAATCAATCAGTTGTCAGCTTTTAAATATGATTCATTTTTTGGCCACCTTGTTTTGGAAATTCTGACGTTAGCACAAGAAAAACACCACAGAGCACAGCTTCCCTTGATAGTATGTACCGCCTCCGTGGTCTAGTGGTAGAGCGTCCATCCGGACAGCGGAATGTCCGGGGTATGATACCCTGGCAGCGTCATACCGATTGACATTAAAAGATGGGACTTGTTACCCTGCCTGGCTCTCGGCATTAAGGGGCTAACACATGGACTGGTTGCCTCAGAGTGAGTATACTGTGTCTGAGTGGGGCATTCATGTAAAACTGCGGCATGGTATCTCAGTGGGCTAGCACTATAAAATTAGTCCAGACTAGTACAAGCAGCCACAGACACACGTGCATGCACATTGCAATATAAGTGCAATAATCTTGGACGCGACGTTAAACCCCCTTTCACCTCACCACCTTGACAGGGGCAGTCGGGTAGCCTAGTGGTTAAAGTGTTCGCTCTCACGCAGAAGACCCGGGTTCGATTCCCAACATGGGTACAATGTGTGAAGCCCATTTCTGGTGTCCCCCGCGGTGGTATTGCTGGAATATTGCTAAAAGCGTCGTAAAACCATTCTCACTCACTCACTCACCACCTTGACAGTAGACCCATTTGGGTGTAGATGCCATGATGCTCAGAAATGACATGATGTATAACATATCCATTACAAAGTAATGGCACGACTGCATTAATATAGATCATATTTGTTTTATACCAAGTATTTTAAAGCCTTGATGAGCTCTTTAGAAGATCCCCTGTCATGACCTCCTAAAGGTGTCTTCACGCAAAGAGGTGTTGTATCAAAGTGAAAATCTCATCAAAATAAGTTGCTTTCCCTTCACTCTGTGGTAGGTTTTGGCTGTGTGCTGAGCTTGTAGTTTCTGTATCTGACACTGCCTTGTGTGCACTGGTGTACCAATGTTTCACTGTAAGTATTGCATCAATGACAATGTTGTGCATACCTCGTTAAACCTCTGAATGAGATCTTCCACACATGGGTGTTTCCTGTGAGTGGGCGACCTGGAGAGGTCAATTGTGACCTGTCGCACATACTGTGCAGAAGGAATGCTGGTGAAGAGGCTGTGTTCGGAGTCTGTTAGCATCATAGCGACCTCTTCAGGGAAGTGAAGCATCTTCTGAAGCTGCTCCAGCTCGGTGGCATACTGTGTCCCACTCCGCATCTCCGTCTGCATCGTCAGCTGGCGCCTGTGGAAGTCTGACAGGCCAAAGAATATTGTCAGAGATACATCATATAAATAATAGTCACCTTCATAATATTCCCCCTTAATAATCCTGAATCTACTTTTGTATTTATTAATTAATTAACTAATTAATTAAATTGGTATGGTTTTCCCTCTCTAAGAATACAACCTCTCATCCCTTGACAAAAAAACAAAACATCAGTCGTACAATAGTTTAAAATGTCATATTACTGTACACCAAAACAACTAATTTATTGACCGATGTATCCTACGATTGCCACAAACACACGTCTTCCTGTTATTGGAAAGATATCAACAAATTTGTACTGAATTATGCACTTTAAGCCTGTTATTACACAATCTGGTTATAAAACTGTACACTGAAATAAAAATTCCTACTTCAAGCATTCAGTACTGAAAACTGAGTCTCATAACCAAAACTTGTCCTCAAAATTAGCATCTATTAATTCCGGTAAAGTTTCATCTTAAATTATCCCATTTTAGCTGAGCTCATAGATCAATATCAATTTGACCAAACTCTGGCTCCAAACCACTTGTCAAAGTCACACACCATGCATAAATACCATTTCTTGGACAAAAATACCTCATTTGAAATTCCATATTCTTACCAAACTCGAAACTATCCCTCCTGAGAGTGCCGTTGTTTAGGAATCGTCCATCCATATCTAGGGCCTGCCAGATGGCTGCTGTCACTGACTTGAGATTGTCAAGTGTTGGCATCACAAGCGCCCATGGTTTAGACCCTCGGAACTCCAAGACCAGGCCATCATGGGCTTTCCCTGTGCCGGACAGCCAATCCTCCAAGTTACGAATGTTTTGTGATTTGGCGAGAAGTTTGGTTTTATTGTCCAATAGCACTATTTTCTCACTGGCAATACCTAATAACCTTGGTATCTGCAACAGAATGATTGAACATTATATTACCAATGACAAGGCTCCGTCTTGACATGGGGGATAATAACAAATATCCTAATATAAATGAAAGTGGATTATTTTGTAAGACCTTCTTTGCAAGGCTTACGGTATTTACCCAATCAGGGACACAGATTACATTTTTGTGTAGAGTTTCTTTGAATAACGGAATGCATGAAGAAAGTGATAGCGTGGAGCCATTTGACAAACTTATTCGGGGGTTCAGCGTTATTTGGAGAGTTATCTTCCTTGATGTGCTTAATGTCTAAATTTACCTTTTTCTGTGTGTTTCCTCGAAGTATTTCCTTCACCTGAAAGATTTTGCATCCATAACTTGGCAGCTTCTTACATATCTTTATGTATAACTGCTTCAGTTTTAGTTCATTCTCATAGTAGGGTGTGTGCCATAGCTTCTTATTCTTCTCCTGAAAATACAAAGAATAAATGTGTGTTTTAGCTGTACTTAATCCTGTGAGGTAAGCTGGCGTTTATAGAATATTACTGCTTAATGTGGAAGAAAAGTCCTTTACCACTACACAAGCAGGGCAGGGTGCATGATTCAGGGATGATTGAATTACAAACTCCTCATGGAGATTCTGTGACAGAATAGATCCCCAGTACACCATGCTTGTCTCCACATGGAGATTCTGTGACAGAATAGATCTACACCTCATGCTTGTCTCCACATGGAGATTCTGTGACAGTATAGATCTACATCCCATACTTGTCTCCATATAGAGATTCTGTGATGAAATAGATCTACAGCCCATGCTTGTCTCCACATGGAGATTCTGTGACAGAATAGATCTACATCCCATGCTTGTCTCCATATAGAGATTCTGTGATGAAATAGATCTACACCTCATGCTTGTCTCCATATAGAGATTCTGTGACAGAATAGATCTACATCCCATACTTGTCTCCATATAGAGATTCTGTGATGAAATAGATCTACAGCCCATGCTTGTCTCCACATGGAGATTCTGTGACAGAATAGATCTACATCCCATGCTTGTCTCCATATAGAGATTCTGTGATGAAATAGATCTACACCTCATGCTTGTCTCCATATAGAGATTCTGTGACAGAATAGATCTACAGCCCATGCTTGTCTTCACATGGAGATTCTGTGATGAAATAGATCTACATCCCATACTTGTCTCCACATGGAGATTCTGTGATGAAATAGATCTACAGCCCATACTTGTCTTCACATGGAGATTCTGTGACAGAATAGATCCACAGTACTCCATGCTTGTCTCCACATGGAGATTCTGTGACAGAATAGATCTACATCCCATACTTGTCTCCATATAGAGATTCTGTGATGAAATAGATCTACATCCCATACTTGTCTCCACATGGAGATCCTGTGATGAAATAGATCTACAGCCCATACTTGTCTTCACATGGAGATTCTGTGACAGTATAGATCCACAGTACCCCCTGCTTGTCTTCACATGGAGATTCTGTGATGAAATCGATCTACAGCCCATACTTGTCTTCACATGGAGATTCTGTGACAGTATAGATCCACAGTACCCCCTGCTTGTCTTCACATGGAGATTCTGTGATGAAATCGATCTACAGCCCATACTTGTCTTCACATGGAGATTCTGTGACAGTATAGATCAACAGTACCCCATGCTTGTCTTCACATGGAGATTCTGTGATGAAATCGATCTACATCCCATACTTGTCTCCACATGGACATTCTGTGACAGAATAGATCTACAGCCCATGCTTGTCTTCACATGGAGATTCTGTGACAGAATAGATCTACACCTCATGCTTGTCTCCATATAGAGATTCTGTGATGAAATAGATCTACATCCCATACTTGTCTCCACATGGAGATTCTGTGATGAAATAAATCTACAGCCCATGCTTGTCTTCACATGGAGATTCTGTGACAGAATAGATCCACAGTACTCCATGCTTGTCTCCACATGGAGATTCTGTGACAGAATAGATCCATAGTACCCCTGCTTGTCTCCACATGGAGATTCTGTGATGAAATATATCTACATCCCATGCTTGTCTTCACATGGAGATTCTGTGACAGAATAGATCCACAGTACTCCATGCTTGTCTCCACATGGAGATTCTGTGATGAAATATATCTACATCCCATGCTTGTCTCCATATGGAGATTCTGTGACAGAATAGATCCACAGTACCCCATGCTTGTCTCCATATAGAGATTCTGTGACTGAATAGATCCATAGTACCCCATGATTGTCTCCATATGGAGATTCTGTGATGAAATAGATCTACATCCCATACTTGTCTCCATATGGAGAGTCTGTGATGAAATAGATCTACACCTCATGCTTGTCTCCACATGGAGATTCTGTGACAGAATAGATCTACATGCCATGCTTGTCTTCACATGGAGATTCTGTGATGAAATAGATCTACAGCCCATGCTTGTCTTCACATGGAGATTCTGTGATGAAATAGATCTACATCCCATGCTTGTCTTCACATGGAGATTCTGTGATGAAATAGATCTACATCCCATGCTTGTCTTCACATGGAGATTCTGTGATGAAATAGATCTACAGCCCATGCTTGTCTTCACATGGAGATTCTGTGATGAAATAGATCTACAGCCCATGCTTGTCTTCACATGGAGATTCTGTGACAGAATAGATCTACAGCCCATGCTTGTCTTCACATGGAGATTCTGTGACAGAATAGATCCACAGAACCCCATGCTTGTCTCCACATGGAGATTCTGTGACAGAATAGATCCACAGTACTCCATGCTTGTCTCCACATGGAGATTCTGTGATGAAATAGATCCATAGTACCCCATGCTTGTCTCCATATGGAGATTCTGTGATGAAATAGACCTACAGCCGATGCTTGTCTTCACATGGAGATTCTGTGGCTGAATAGATCCACAGTACTCCATGCCTGTCTCGATATAGAGATTCTGTGACAGTATAGATCTACATCCCATACTTGTCTCCATATGGAGAGTCTGTGATGAAATAGATCTACACCTCATGCTTGTCTCCACATGGAGATTCTGTGATGAAATAGATCTACAGCCCATGCTTGTCTTCACATGGAGATTCTGTGATGAAATAGATCTACAGCCCATGCTTGTCTTCACATGGAGATTCTGTGATGAAATAGATCTACATCCCATGCTTGTCTTCACATGGAGATTCTGTGACAGAATAGATCCACAGTACTCCATGCTTGTCTCCACATGGAGATTCTGTGATGAAATAGATCCATAGTACCCCATGCTTGTCTCCATATGGAGATTATGTGATGAAATAGACCTACAGCCGATGCTTGTCTTCACATGGAGATTTTGTGACAGAAAAGATCCACAGTGCCCCATGCTTGTCTTCACATGGAGATTCTGTGATGAAATAGATCTACAGCCCATGCTTGTCTTCACATGGAGATTCTGTGATGAAATAGATCTACATCCCATGCTTGTCTTCACATGGAGATTCTGTGATGAAATAGATCTACAGCCCATGCTTGTCTTCACATGGAGATTCTGTGATGAAATAGATCTACAGCCCATGCTTGTCTTCACATGGAGATTCTGTGATGAAATAGATCTACATCCCATGCTTGTCTTCACATGGAGATTCTGTGACAGAATAGATCCACAGTACTCCATGCTTGTCTCCACATGGAGATTCTGTGATGAAATAGATCCATAGTACCCCATGCTTGTCTCCATATGGAGATTATGTGATGAAATAGACCTACAGCCGATGCTTGTCTTCACATGGAGATTCTGTGACTGAATAGATCCACAGAACCCCCTGCTTGTCTTCACATGGAGATTCTGTGACAGAATAGATCCACAGTGCCCCATGCTTGTCTTCACATGGATATTCTGTGATGAAATAGATCTACATCCCATACTTGTCTCCATATGGAGAGTCTGTGATGAAATAGATCTACACCTCATGCTTGTCTCCACATGGAGATTCTGTGACAGAATAGATCTACATGCCATGCTTGTCTCCATATGGAGATTCTGTGATGAAATAGACCTACAGCCGATGCTTGTCTTCACATGGAGATTCTGTGGCTGAATAGATCCACAGTACTCCATGCCTGTCTCGATATAGAGATTCTGTGACAGTATAGATCTACATCCCATACTTGTCTCCATATGGAGAGTCTGTGATGAAATAGATCTACACCTCATGCTTGTCTCCACATGGAGATTCTGTGATGAAATAGATCTACAGCCCATGCTTGTCTTCACATGGAGATTCTGTGATGAAATAGATCTACAGCCCATGCTTGTCTTCACATGGAGATTCTGTGATGAAATAGATCTACATCCCATGCTTGTCTTCACATGGAGATTCTGTGACAGAATAGATCCACAGTACTCCATGCTTGTCTCCACATGGAGATTCTGTGATGAAATAGATCCATAGTACCCCATGCTTGTCTCCATATGGAGATTATGTGATGAAATAGACCTACAGCCGATGCTTGTCTTCACATGGAGATTTTGTGACAGAAAAGATCCACAGTGCCCCATGCTTGTCTTCACATGGAGATTCTGTGATGAAATAGATCTACAGCCCATGCTTGTCTTCACATGGAGATTCTGTGATGAAATAGATCTACATCCCATGCTTGTCTTCACATGGAGATTCTGTGATGAAATAGATCTACAGCCCATGCTTGTCTTCACATGGAGATTCTGTGATGAAATAGATCTACAGCCCATGCTTGTCTTCACATGGAGATTCTGTGATGAAATAGATCTACATCCCATGCTTGTCTTCACATGGAGATTCTGTGACAGAATAGATCCACAGTACTCCATGCTTGTCTCCACATGGAGATTCTGTGATGAAATAGATCCATAGTACCCCATGCTTGTCTCCATATGGAGATTATGTGATGAAATAGACCTACAGCCGATGCTTGTCTTCACATGGAGATTCTGTGACTGAATAGATCCACAGAACCCCCTGCTTGTCTTCACATGGAGATTCTGTGACAGAATAGATCCACAGTGCCCCATGCTTGTCTTCACATGGATATTCTGTGATGAAATAGATCTACATCCCATACTTGTCTCCATATGGAGAGTCTGTGATGAAATAGATCTACACCTCATGCTTGTCTCCACATGGAGATTCTGTGACAGAATAGATCTACATGCCATGCTTGTCTCCATATGGAGATTCTGTGATGAAATAGACCTACAGCCGATGCTTGTCTTCACATGGAGATTCTGTGGCTGAATAGATCCACAGTACTCCATGCCTGTCTCGATATAGAGATTCTGTGACAGTATAGATCTACATCCCATACTTGTCTCCATATGGAGAGTCTGTGATGAAATAGATCTACACCTCATGCTTGTCTCCACATGGAGATTCTGTGATGAAATAGATCTACAGCCCATGCTTGTCTT